GCAGMACCACTCTGAAGATGCAAGCCACTCGTGCATGCGAAACGTCAGGAGGAAATTATTACGACGGCCTAAAAGCCCGAGAAACTCACCAGTTTCAAGCAATGACAGCAAAAAATCCTAACGCCTTAAATAAAGCCTAGAGAATTCATTTTGGGGAACAAGAGGGGACGAAATAACAATTCAAGTAAGGCGAGTGAAAAAAAAAACTTTAAGAAACTGCCTAGAAGGCAACAAGCTCATTACAATTTGGTTTTTGGCTACTCAACACACAAATAACAAATAACCGCCAAAAGTCGGATGTTGACCAGTTGAACAGCACGTAAATTATGCAAATTTCCCCACTCTAGTGTTCTACAATAAATTCAAATAAATATTAATACATAATATAAGCGGCCCACAACATTCCCAAACACAGCCAGTAACCACTTAAGAAATAGCTAAAATGTAATTACTTGAAGAACAGTTCTTCCCAATTTCCTCATCAATAAACCATTGTTGTCGAACAAGCCTTAATCTCACAGCATCGCCACACATACCACGCATAAAAGCCTTTATCGGCACGGGGAAAAAACGATAATTTCAACATCAATGAAAGCTTATAATTATCCGCAGCCTATAACCACATTTAATAGCAAAAGCGTTTTTAATAAATTGTATAATTGACGGATCGCTTTACTTGAAGCAGGGGCGGAACCGGTCATTCAATTTACTTGAAATGCTTCTCTAGAAATGGTGATATGCAAAACCGGCCACTTAATCGCATGACTTGCACAGCAACGCATTATCAATCTTACCTCATCCATTCTAGATGAAAATCACTCAGGATTGTACTGATCCATCCATAGTTAACGAAGTAAATCACCAAAATCTATCACATTAGAACCTTCGCACCCTTAACTATCCAAACACTGTTCAGTTCCCTTTATCTTTTTTTTTAGTTGCTTCGGCACATGCTTGAAAATTTGACCGAAGAAACCAGACCAGTCGCACTTGTTGCCGGCATCCAGATGTTACGTAAAGCGTCGCGACGCCCAAAGTTGGTACCAGCGCGAACTCACCTCACCAACGTCTTCCGGCTAACTTATTCTTCATTTGTTCTTCGCGGCGGCCGGCACACCGCGTGACGTCACCAACAGGTTGCCCACTCTGGAGGTGGCCTTTCGGCCACGGCGGTCCGTCTTGACGGATGATCTTCCGTTGGCGGATTCGATAAAACATTTCCAACTTTATCGTCAAAAATCCCAAACTATTGCGGTCATGCTAATCTGCTGTTTCTTCATAAATCCCCGTATTTTTTCATTTTTCGCAACACAACCAATCAAAGACTGTGACGATGATGAAGACTGATCAACTAACGGTGGATTGCAGTAAAATACATCAAAATGCGCAAATTTATTCAATATGGTCCTTCGAGCCGGATGTTTGAATCCAACCGAACACAGCTAAGGACCATTACGACTAAACTCGGGCATTTTAAGAAAGTCAAATTTTCCAAATATACAGCGTGCAGCCAAAATATATAGCGCAAGCCAAGCGGACGTTATCCACTCTCACTTTTAATTCATCAAATCCATTCCATGAAAAACCATCAGTTTGACTTCATTTGCTTCACATGCAAATCGATCTACTCGCATAGTAGTATACAATATATTAAGTTAATTATACCTGCCGTTCCATAATTTCCCCGGCACTCTATTATAATAAATCACATATAAATAAATCTCGTGTTCCATCTAGATAACAAACGCCTTTTTCTGATTCGTGTAAACACGAACCAGAATAGGAGTTCACAGCTCGAGATCTTCATTCTTCTGCTTCTTCTTCCTGTGCTCCAAGGTCGGTTTACACCAAGTTCTCAACGGGGTCGATCCTGTGTGGTCCATCGTCGAAGGCAGAATAAGATTGCCCGTATGATAAACGATCGTGATGGCTAAACAATAGAGTTCGGTGGGATTTTTTTTGTGTACGATTCATATTTACTTAGTTTTGCGTGGAGTTGATCGTTTAATTAGTCGACGATTGAAAACAGACGCATTTTATCTTCGAAAAACTCAGAATCTGAATCTGCTCAAAACGCCTTATGGAAAGTTACTCTTGCCCGAGATCGGTTCGCATGATTTTTACTTCCGCGGATTGTAACAATGTGACATGAATCCCTCTCGCTTGATGGACAAGTAATAGAAAAAGAACGACCATTATTAGGTCACTGCCAAACAGTTTGGGAGCGAGTATAGGCACTGCTTCCTTTTATCTATATATATTCCATATTAGTGCCAGCATTTCTTGCTGCGCACGTTGAACAGTTAAACCTTCTTCTGAGCAGTTGGAAAAAGTGCTGCGCTTGAGAGCTGATTAGAAATCGAATCTTGTTCAGCAGTTTACCGCAAGTGATACCTATCAACGTAGGTAACGATAACGGTAACACGTAAAAATCGGCGATACTGCCGCCTGATTAAGCCAAAAAGCCTTATAAATTATCCGAAGCAAAATGAAAGTACCGATAATAAGCTTGTGCGGTTTAATGTTTTGGCGGCCAAGATCTTCAATAAATCGATAAGAATCGATTGAATACCTGAAAAACTCAGTGGCGAAGTGAAAAATGTCATACGAATCAAGGAACTGAGCTCGCGCAATTTCATTCCCTTTACCCAGACAGGAACAGCATTCCGCTGATGCGATTGCTAAATTAATTTGCAGAATAAATCATTCAAACGGATATAGAATGTACAATCCATTGCATGGTAAATATGAAAATTGACTCCAGCATTTAGTTGCAGTTTCCTTTTATTTGCCTGCCTCCGGTTCGAAGCCTTAACTATACGTTCCAATTATTTATAATTATCTGAATTAGCAAAAGGCGTGCAACCTGGCCGATCTTCTGATTCAGCTCTTAGAACATTGCAAGCAAACGGGAGAGAACTGGCTGTGATTTTTCTTGGCTCCTAATAGAAGATAAATTCTTTGTTTAATTGCAGTTTGAGACCCCAGTCCATTGGAGGTTATTTACTAATTTATTGAGGAAGTTATTAGGATGTTAACTGGGAGGTTGGAAGAGGTTTGAGTCAGGTTCGTTTAAAAGGCTTAAAAGGAGGATAGTTTTCTGGTCAACATGAATATTCATCGGATCAGAAGCTGCTAGCGTGTTTTTCAATGAGCTCATTGCATTTTCCACTTCCTTGAGAAATTTTCGATCAAAAGTCAAAATTTCACAACCACGTTTTTCAAGAAAAAATCACTATTTATCAATAGTGAATAAAGTGAAAAAATAGTTCAGTAATGACAAGCCAAAATGGAAATCAGTCACCTTAGAACGTGCACCAAAACTGGCTGAATGGACTAAAATTCTATGAAGCAGAAGAACATTCATCTGAAGCCCTGGAATTGAAGATCTATTTAAGGCAAATACACGTTGAACAAGCCAGCAGAGCAATAGAATCAAATGATCTAATGCGTGCAATGACTATTGGGTGGCAAAAAGTGCTACATCTGCAGAACTACCCAAAAATTTGCAAGAAATGCTGGATAATAAATGTGGACAATGAATACAATAAATGTACCGAATATTTCACTCGTAGTTTCCCAAACTTCTATTCCAAAAAAATCTATTCGACAAAAGCCGTAAAACGGGAAAACTGACCAAATTCAGGCCCAACTTTTTTGAGCTCATTTGTCGCATAGAACATTGCAAATTAACCATCCTTTGCGTGAGTGCATCTACATAGAAAAAATCGTTACGCCAATGTTGCCCTTGTGCATAAACGTTACAAAGGAGAGGTTGGACCCTACTGCAGTTTGCACTCTTGACTAATACCGATTCATAATAAATAATGGGGGTATTTAGCATATAAATTGCTAATACTCATCAGGTAGTTTTAAATTGGTTCTTGCTCGAACGCATTGGGGCTTCCTAATTAGGGAATATACTGACTTAATCGAGCTGCCATCATAGGAGACAGAGCGCTAAAAAATCACAAATTGCCAAATCAAGTAGAATTGTTCGGTTGTTGTTCCTTCCAGTTGATTCTCTATATATAATTTAACGATTAAATGGATGAAAACGCAAAAATGCCAAAGCCGACAAGCCGGTCTCGTATGTTGGAAACGTCCATAGCCACGATGCGAGACAAGCGTTCGACTCCGTAAACAATAGGGCTTGAAAAATGTGAAAAATCCTGGATACTAAGCCCGTTTGTGTACATTAATAACGTCTCTAACAAGCTTTATTATACGTACTTGGAGCTTAACTGAGCCTAACCGAAAAAAATCGCACCGCAAGCATACCTAAAGGCCAGAACAATGTTCGATTCTTGGGTAGGAACACGACCAATGTGCGGCATGCGTTACTCAAGGGGCCAAAGGCCGCAAGCATAATTTTCTTCAAAACGCTCTCGACTTTGTCATTTACGACATTGTAAGCCCATTCGAAGATATGGAAACTTCCATTCTATGTCACAAAATTTTTTCCAATTCCTCCCAGCCCGTTGTTGAGGAGACCTGATAGTCATCTTGATTCCTACCAGATATCTCGCAGGAATGCCGGCTGCTTATCTGCATATTTATTGGTATAACTTAAGTTGCGCCTCTTTAATATCAGCGATTTAAGGAGCAAGTGCGATTGAAAATTGCGCAAAACATCTTTCAAACGTTTCAAAATAAAAACCGATTTTAGTCAAAAGTCTTCACTATTCTTCACTTGAAACGATATAAAAATGTCTTTTTTTGCATTAAAAAAACATCCAACTAATAACAGAAAAACTGTTTAAATCTTCAACTTAACTCTTCAACAAAATGAACGGTTCACAGCCAAATTTTTCGTAACTTTGGAACTGAGTTATTGAGCTTCAATTCGTTTTATGTCAGTCAGTGTTTCAGTTAAAAGTAGGTGCCTCAGATAAATCTTCTACAGGGTGACAAATGAAAAAACGGAAAATTTGTTGGACAACATAAAGGTTCTTTGGATCTCAATGTCAAAAGTTTAAATATCTAATAATCAGAATCTAGTAATCAGAATTTAACCAGTTCCAAAATTTGTCCTTGTAACGCCTATTTTATTGAGCAGTTTACTAAGCGCTTGATCATCGCTTGATATCGTCATAACTTTCTTCTCTTGGCCGATGCGAATTTAAAATTGTTGTCGCATTCCGAGTGGTCAATTTCATGCGGTTTTCATTTTTGCTGGCCGGCGATTGGCCCGCAGACGGTTCAACGTCGATAATTGAGACATCAAAACAATTGCGGCCCGCCATAATGCGAATATAACGATCTGAAGATGATGGGTGGTAGGTATCGCGTCTTCGAGCGCTCTTTTGCTCATACCCACCACAGCATCAATATATCATGTAAAGGTCCCGGCAGTAGCGTAGAAACAACAGAAACATTTTTTTGCGAATAAAATCTTCAACTTATTGGGGCTTTATGCTATTGTTTTATTCATTACTTGTTAGTGACAGTAATCTATGGGGTTCAAATCCGGGCTACAAGCAGGCCGACCAAATGCATCAGTTCCTAACACTTGAAGTAAAAAAACGGCGTTAATTGTTAGCGAGCAATAAAAGCGTCAACACCAAATCGCAAACGTGTAATTCAATTTACGAATTGGTGGACGACAGAGAAACCAGGCACCGATTTCGATGTTTTAATAGTTAACGTCTATCTTTAAGTCATTTATTACTTCGATTACGAGTGTCCCAAAAGTTTATGCCCAATTTACATATGGAAGATCGAAATCTAAACGAACGAAGAAGCGCAGAAGGTAACACAACACGTTATTAATTTCGAGGGGCAACATCATGCTCTCATGATAAGATTATTAATTAAAAGTCAACCCAAACAGAATCGGACTTTGTTCTTTTCAGCTGCTGAAGTGCATTTAAAGAGTTTTTCTCAAAATTCTCAAACGAATTAAATGCGAAAACTAGTAATGAACGAGAGTGCAGCTTGCAAAAAGTGCAAGTCCAGGACTTGCATGGTTTTTCCGTGCTCATCACTAGCAAAAACACTCAACTCTCTCACACAATTAATGGTGGTTGAAGCATTGGCAATTTTCCTAGGTAATTTTACGAGGTTTTCCCAAATGTATCGCCCTCATTGTTTTTAACTCAATTCCTCC